TCTCTGGCTCTACATGACACTTATTTTCCATTAGAACACACTTGTCACTTTTTATAAGAGTTGAGTATTTCCCTCGATTATGTAATGTTTGATTCAGTGTCCTTAATTTGGATAAGTTCATAGATCTTTTGACTTTTCACAGCAAATTGAGCTAGATCATGCATACATATTTACTGTGCTGACTGCTGAAATTTAGATTCTGTTCACCTTCAATCAAGTACTTACAATATACTGGACAGTGGAATAGACAATAGGTTGAATGAGCACAGGTGTGATCAAGGATTTGGGGAATACAACTTTTATTTAAGAAATATGCCATATATGGGCCTAGCTGGTGGTATAGTCATTAAAGTATTGGACTCCCAAATGGTTGACTGTGGTTGGACATGACAACTTGAAAATCACTCTGATCATGTGTTTGTGTGCATTTCCAAAATCCCGAGAGGAGGATAGAGGAGAAGGGATTGAGGCATGACCATTCTCCCCCCTTGAGGGATGACTTCTCACTTTCACTCTCACTGCTTTTCTCTGACTCTTTCCAGTGAGTGAATGAACCCTAGGATAAAAAGAAATTTATCTTGACCAGGATCTCATAATGTAGTTGGAAAGAAAGATAATATATTGCTAACAAGAGTACAATTTAGTTTATGACATAAAAACATAAGCAATGTTTATAAAAATATATAGAAGGAAGTGAATGATAACCTGGAGAAGCAAAAAAGATGTCTCAATGGAAATATCATTTTGCATGTACCATGAAGGACAAATAGGGTTATCACAGAAAGCATAAGGAAAAGAAGTAGCCGAAGGACTCAAAACCTGGAAGTTTAAAATGACAAGACCTAATTTGAAAATATTAGTAAACTAGGTGAATGAAGCTTATGCCACATAATATAGGGGGATATGTATAAGAGAAATAGGGGGTTAGAATGGAAATTGTTTTATTTTCTTCCTCCTGTTTTTCTTTTCTAGTTTCATTATTTCACTGAAGTTTCTGTCTGAGTGATGTCATAGTCACTTCTAAATGTTAGTTCCAAAGCATATCTCATTATCTTCCTGGCCAACTTGAACTGTCTGGTGTTATTGCAAGCCTCTTAATCTCTAGCTTTGGTGATAATGTTCTTTCTTTGTGACTGTTTCAGCTCAGTATTTTATGCTTAGTCATGTTTCTCTCTTTGCCCGTAACGATGCATGTATTTCCCAGTGTTCTATCCTTGTCCTCCATCTTCTTTCATTCTAGAGTTTTCCCTCAATTATTTATTTCATCTACTGTTGTGTTATCTGTCATTCTGGTTTTGATAGAGAAAGGATTTAAATTATTTTGGTTGTACATTCACCTATGCAAATTTATTGAGCATATTCTAGAGGACAGGCAAAGCAGAGGACTTTCATAAGTCATCTCTTCCATCTCAGTCTGTTTGCTGACTAGAAATATTCTGAATTTCTTATTTTACATGTCCATGAAGTCCATTGTATTGACTGTGGGTGATGTGGGCTTGATGATTTCCCTCAGAGTAGAAGCATTTTTGTTTACCTCCATTATGTAGTTTGTCTTTTAAAATTGTGTATATTTTTCCTTTGCTGTGCAAATCTTTTTGGTGTGATGTATTAATAGGTCCACTTATTTATTTTTATTTTTGTTGCTTGAGCTTATGAGATGATTTTAAAAACTAATTAGCAAGACCAACATTAAGGAGTCTGCTTCCTATATTTTCTTCCAAGAACTTCATAGTTTCAGGCCTTACATTAAATCTTTAATGTGATTTGAGTAGATATTTTTGTGCAATGTAAGAGTAGGATTCGATTTTATTTCCTTTTGCGTGTGTTCGTCTACTTTTCTAAGGACGTTTAATGGAGTAGAATTTTTCTTTTACCAATGTATAGTCTTCATATCATTCTCAAAGTTAGTTAATCATAGGTACATGCGCTTATCCATGGGCTTTCAATTCTCTTCTATAGATCTATGAATCTATTTCTTTAATAATAAGGTAAAGTTAGGGAATAAGCACTTTACTCCTATCATAACCATTAACAAACTATAAAAGACCTTCAGTGGGAAGTGGGATGATAAGTGGGGAAAAAATGAGCACTTTCAAAACTGCTTGGTGCCACAGAAAGCATTCATGTGTAGATTGTGGGTAAAGGACAGTCTCTTCAACAAATGGTGCTGGGAAAACAGGATATCCACTAGTAAAAGGAAGAATGTGGATCCTTATTTTTAAATGTAAAATAATATAACTTAAAATGAATTCAATTCTTGAATGCAAGGGCTGCAACTATATACATCTTAGAAGATACATTTGTGTAAATATTCAATAGATTGTCTTAAGCAATATTTTGTTATATACAACCCCAGGAGCACAGGTAAGATATCAATAATGGACACGTTGGACTTTGCTAAAATTTGAAGTACTTTTGCTTCAAAGACACCATAAAGAAAATGAAAGAGAATCAATATATTAGAGAGAATATATGGAAATCATATGTTTGATAAAAGACTTGTATTTAGAACATAAAATAATTATTGCTATTAAATAATAAAATCACAAATACCCTATTGTAGGAATGGTATAGCATCTAAAGTCATTTCTCCAAAGATATAAAAATGGCTAAAAGTATGTAACAATATGGCTAAAATTATTAGCCATAGAGGACATGCAAATTAAAGCCACAATAAGATATTGCATCACATGAACCATAATGGGTATAATGAAAAACCAAACAAATTACAATTGGTATTAAGGTGAAGCAGAATTGAAACTGTCAGGTCTTTCTGAGAGGATTATAAAATGATGCACTTCATTGAAAATAGTCTGGTATTTCCTCAAGAGGTAAATGGTTACCATTTGATCTAGCTATTTCTTCCTACATATATTTCAAAGAGAAATGAAAAGATATCCATACATAAACTTGTACACACATGTCTAGCACATCATTATTCACAACTGAAATTATGATTCTAAAATTTGTATGTAAAAAAGGAGCAGCATAACCAAGTTGCAATAGAAGAAGAAAGTTGGAAAACTCACACTACCTATTCAGTTGTTTGAGAAATCATGACAATTTTGTTAGAAAAAGAAATGGAATGCACTGTAAAGATATATGTGATTCAATGTAATATAAACAAGACTATGATAATAATACAATTAAATAAAAATTCATGACTTTTCCCCCTATGTTTTCCTACACAAAAATTCCTCATGACTTTTATGACAACCTAATAATTTCCAGATTTACAGAAATGACAGAAATCAAGACAGCATGGGGTTATTGAAGTAACACAAATATCAGGGGAATAGCAGAGTCTATAATAGTTTCATAAATTAGAGTCTGTTCATCTTTGACAAAGAAGCAAAGACAGTGAGAAAGGGGCAATCTTTTCGCAAATGATGCTGAAACAATAGGACATCCATATGAAAAATGCAGTAACCTAGACACACACAATACATATTTCACAAACATTAACTCAAAATGAATCCTGAAATTACATATAAAATCAAAACTATAGAATTATCAAAAGAAAATAGGAAATAATTTAGATGATCTCTAATGAGTTATGAATTTTAGAAACAACACCAAAAGCATGCTCTACAAACAATTGTTAATAATAATGTTTAAGTTATATTAAAATACAAATATTTGCTCTGAAAAAGACACATCTTCAAGCCATGGACTATGAGGAAACATATATCAACTTATCCTGATAGGGTATCTGTGTACATAATATATAAAGATCAGTTAAAATGAAACAATAAGAAAAGAAACAATCTAATTCAAAGAAGAGATATAGAGTTGGCAAATAGCAGAAAACAGAAGCTTGACATGATTTGTTATTAGGGCATTTCAAATTAAAGCAATAAGTGAATACTTAAAAGAATGGCTACAACCCTTACCCCCGTTAAAAAGGTAAGTATGAGATTTAGCAAAAGTGTGGAGCAATAGGAATACCCACACTTCCATCCTCAGATTGCCAGCTGAGAGGGACTAGAAACAATGACTGAGGAAGCAATCAATGAAGACAGCATCCAGAGCTTGGTTTCTAATTATCATTCTACAATTTAAAATAACCAAGGCCCCTTGAAGAAATGGCTGATTCTAGAAAAGGTGTAGGAAATATGAGGGATGTGAGAGATGCCAGTAAAAATAAATAAGCATGCCTGAGTCAGTATTGATGTAAACAAACAATTGATTAATAAATAAATGGTAAAGATATATTGGAACGTAGAATAGCAGGGAGGCCAACTATAGACACTAGAGAAAATATAGAAGAGGGTGAGTAATACAGAGTGGGATGGAGAGTGTCAGGGAAAAAATTAACATACAAAATATAAAGTTATGTGTTGATAATGTATATAGTAGTATCTTTGACTTGCCTGATATGGATAGTATTCATTCTGCAAAAAAAAAAAATGTTGTATTCTGTCCTGATATGGATAGTATTCATTCTGCAAAAAAAAAAAATGTTGTATTCTGTAAGATGTGTAGTGATTAAATATAAATTAAAAACAATAATGATCAACAAATTTAAAAAAAAGAAAAGATTATGTTTGAAAACTCAGAATATGCCTGCAGTCTTAAGATATTGCTTTGGAATTCCAGTAATTTGTTAACAATGCTAAATATAGACTTCTTCCTATATGTTGGCTGATTCTTAATATTTGTTGGGTGTGTTGAAATCATAACTAATTCCAGTTTGACAGAAATCGTAGTCTCATGACTAATTCTTTAGTTAATTCCTAATAAATGCTAGTAGCTTAGAAGTTGAAGCATATTTTAGCCAATTATCTTTCTCTTACTAATTTGGCCCACATGCCATCATAATTTAATGTTAGGTCATCAGGAAGATAATGACATGTTTTTCTATGCAAAAATGCGTCACGACATTCCTAATGATCAAATAATTTACTATTTTGTATACAAAATTGCTTTTCCACTTTCTCATTATTTTTTGATTTAGAAAATTTATCAGTTTGGAATCAGTTTTCCAGAGGGTATGAAATTCATTTCAGAATGTTGCAAGATTTTCCCTTCTTTAACATTCTTTTTATAACTTTTATTACTTCCTTATTTCTTAGACTATAAATGAAGGGGTTTAATAAAGGAATTACTATGCTGTAAAAAACAGCAACAGGTATATCTTTATCTCCTTCATTAACTGAAGTTGATTGAACATACACAAAGAAAAGAGAACCGTAGAGTATTGCAACAGAGAGAAAATGGGATGCACAAGTTGATAAGGCTTTACCTCTCCCCTCTTTGGATTTCATTGTGAATATTGTGAAAAGGATGAAGAGATAAGAGATTAGAATGATACTAATAGTAAAGATTAGAACAATCCCTGCTGTGATAGTTAACATCAATTCATTGATATAAGTATCTACACAAGAAAGTCTATATAGGGGAAGAAGATCACAAAAAAAGTGACTGATTAGATGAGACCCACAAAAAGTTAATCTAAAGAGAAATCCTACTTCAATCATGGAATGTACATTTCCAGCTATGTAGGCCCCTGTGGTCATCTGAATGCAGAGTTTCTTGGACATCATGGTGTGGTACTGCAGTGGGTTGCAAATGGCCACATAGCGATCATAAGCCATCGCTGCCAGGAGAAAGCAGTCCGCAGTCTCAGCAAGGCAGAAAAAGTAAAACTGTAGCATACATTCATAGAGGGAAATCTTGTTTTCAGAAAAGAAGTTCTCCAACATCTTGGGGGTTATGGCACTGGAGCAGCAGGAATCCACCAGAGCCAGGTTGCCCAGAAAGATGTACATTGGTGTGTGAAGACGACGCTCCATGTAAATCAACACGACTAGCCCAAGATTACTCACCATCGTGACGAGATAGATGACAAACAGGACCACACACAGAAGAATCTCTAGCTCTGGGTTAATTGAAAATCCTGTGAGGATAAATTCAGTTGCAAAGGAGTGGTTATCCTTGGTCATGTTGACGTTTTCTGTTGAAATAGGAATTATGGACATATGAGATTCTAATTAAAAATGAATAATTTTCTCATTATTATTTTCTTTTATAACACATGGATGAGCTTCTTTAAATTCCCCTGCTGTCTCTCGAATACCCCCACATGTAATTCTAGGAGGCATTTTTTCTAAAGTGTTAGTCTTTATCTTCTAAAAGTGTGACCCTTTAGGTTTTATAAGAATATTTTGACAATTACAGGGAAGATGACCAAAATGGAAAAGGGTTGTCAAATATAGGGCACCCCTTTTGGTTCATTCTTCCCAAATAATTTATGTCAATTTGTACCGAAGTTCCTTTAAATGAATTTATAATTAATTTTCCTATGTATAGACTGTTTTCTCCCCCTACTGAGGAAACATTTTTTCTATTCTCCCATTAAATGCATACTTCAGTCATTTATTCTTATCTATGGGACACATATTTCAAGATGTCCAGTGTACATTTGAAATTTCATATAATTCTGAAGAGTATATGTATTCTATTTTCTCCTATCCATTCATACCTACGATGAAAGTCTACTTTATATGATAGGCACAATAAGAGAGTCTAAACAATAATTAATAGTGAAATGGAAAAATTATTACAATATATGTCATAAAAGCATATGAATATTGTCTTTATCTCTGTCTTAAAATATCTTATTGTAGTGAACTCTATTCTTGATATTATGTAAAATAATATTTGGGTTCAG